GCATTCCAAATGATAAGGTTATTTCCTTGGCATTGTCTATCAAGCACGTGGCATGTCATTTGAGAAGGTGGAGGATAAGAGAAAGTTATGGACCTGCGACAGGTAAGAACTTATTGATAAATACCAATGACCAAGACTGGAAGATTGCATCTTGTATTCATCTTTTATGCATTCTGTCAACTGTGTGGTTATTTTACACATGAGTAGCTCCCATATGGGATGCTATATAAACGAAACCATCCATATAAAAGAGTTTGAACATCACAATCTTCAGCAGTTCACTGCTAAAGCTTACAACTCATAATCATCATTCCTCAAGAGATCATTGATGTATTTATATGCATTCTAATGCTATGTCATAACTCAAGTAGGAAAGTTCTAGAGCTTGAGATTTGGAGTGGATGCTCCATTCACCCATAGTATCCAACAAAACTACTTATTTATTTATTTGTAAAAGATTTGTATGGCCATCTGTTAGAGCACAACTCTGGAATCTCACAGCAACTATAAATCTATAAAAACCATAGAACCGTAAAGCAGAAACTAAAAATCATCCTCCTAGGAGGCCTCAATAGTGAAGCTTCTGCTAACCAATACAATTCTGATGACTCCATAGCATCATCTCCACAGGGGAGCAGGATCTCCATAGGGAGATGATGCCTTCATATTGTAGAGCAGTGTTTCTTACCTTGGCAGCTTGAAAACATTGGCTGAGAAATTCTGGGAACTGAGGTCCATATATCTTCAAGTTACCAAGGATGAGAAACACTGCTCCAGTGTTCCCTCCAAGGCACTATTCTGAAATTCCATAGAAGAAGATGGGCAGATCATGTGAAGGTAATCTTTCTATTTACACATATGGACTCTTTACCTGGAGGCTGAAGGATCCAAACTGCATCCTGCCAGTTTTGGTATTGAGGAGCTAAAATTTGGTAATCACTGATGATCTGATCATGTCTCCAGGAGGGAAAGATGATGACCAATAAGAATGCTGTTTTCCAGATAGGAAAAGGAGTAAATGTATGGATAATGGTTGAAGGGGAATGCAGACAATCAGGATAGTACCAGTGGTAAGTTTCAAGGTGCAGCCATAAAGATAAAGAGCTCTGAACATCATTCAAAAATGTCCTTTGTATAACAGGTATACAAAATTTCCAAAGCATAAGAAGAATCTAAAATCTGGGGGGAAGAGGGCAGATAGAGGCTGAAATGTTGTGAGCTATTTAGCAGCAAAGCCTTATGTGTTGATGACAGGCGGGTGACCCGTTTGACTGAGATGACTACTCTAGGGTGTGATGGATAGGATTTTACAGGTTTGAAATTCTAGACATCTGGTCTCCAGTCATTGGACTGTGACAATGGTAAAAAGCTCCTGCTGGGATGGGGGTTGGATCAGTTCTGAAAAGTCTACCCAGTAATCTGAGCTTTCTTGTAACCAAACTATTTTGTTAAATGTAGTTATGCCCATATCTTTCCTTCAAAACAAACATTTTATGTTCTCTAAAATTACAAATTCTATAGCAATAACTGTAGCTGTGATCTCCAATTACATCCATGTAAAATTAAATATGGTATTGTTTTACTCCAGATTCTTATTTTTTTCTAGGCTAATACTGGTTTTCTAATTATTGTCAATTATTGGTTATTTTATAAAATTCATTCAAATATTTTCTCTCTCTCTCACTTTTAAATAGAAAAATGCACAGATCTGTCCACTTATCACAATATTAAAAGCTGGTACATCAGTGTCAGGAGTCCAAGACATGAATAATGCCATTAAACAAACACTCCTGACTTTACTATATCAGCTACTGAACTTTGGAATGTAAGGAAAACGATCACCATCAATTATAATAACATCCTTTGACAAGGCTGCAATTAATTTTTTCCCTTTTTTTAAAAAAGTATAAGTTTTGTTCCATGATGCCAAAAGAAATGGCAGGCATTAATTGACTTATCACCAGACAGTGATAAATGGGACTGAATGTAAAGTAGTTATTCATCTTTAGTTGAATAAACAGTTTTGTTGCTACAATCTCTCCTGTGTTATGGAAAGAATAACAGTAGGATATTCCAGGAACCTTTTATAAATATTTGCAATAGGATGTGTTATAGAGTAATACATCATGATGCAGCATTTACATAAAAGAAATGCCAATCTAAAGTTCTATAAAACATATATTTATACTGAGAAATATGAAAAGTGAAATATAAAGTATAAAAAGTGAAAAAGTGGGACTGAGTCTTAACATCAGGAAAATAAAGATAATGACAACAGCTGCAGATGGATGTGAGATGTTTATAATTAACAAGGACAAAATTGAATTAGTTCGAGAATGTATCTTCCTTGGATCAAAAATTGTTCACGGTGGCAGTTTTACTCCTGAAATCGAACACAAGATAACCTTACAATGGTTAACATGAAAAAGATCTGGAAAAACAGAGATACTAATATAAATACAAAAAGCAGACTAGTTAGAGCAGCAGTCTTCCTTAAAATGATTTATGGATGTGAGAATTGGACAGTAAGAATGGCTGATCGAAGAAGAATTGACGCCTTTGAACTGTGATGCTGGCATAAATTAGGGCATGTACCATGGACAGACAGAACAACTAATAGAAAGTGTTGAATTGTATAAAGCTAGAAACATCACTAGAAGCCAAAATCACAAGATTACATCTGATTTACTTCGACCATGTCATATGTGCAAATTCATTGGGGAAGTCAATGACCCTAGGAATGGTTAGTGGAACAAGAAAAAGGGGCAAGCAAAGAATACACTGGCTTGGTAACATCAAAACTGATTCAAATATGAACATCTTAAAGAAGCTGTGCTTGACAGGGTAGCATGGAGAGCACTTGCCTATAAAGTTGCCAAAAGTCAGACACAACTGAAAGGTTAAAACAACAACAAAAGAACAAACTCTTGCCCTTTTCCTCAGCCTGAGAGATCATGCAGTTCTAATGACTTGTCTTTTCAGTTATGGATACAGTATGAACATTCGTTTCCAATGCAGATTAAGAGTTTCCAAAAAGTTCTAAAAGTTTCCTCAGCATGTACTCAGAAATATCTGTAAATTATCTCTCAGTTCAGTGAGGAACTGCATTCTGCCACACAAGCCTATCCAGGCTTTAAGATCAGTAGGCATGGCCATTTCCTTGCTCCAGCAACAATCAAAGATATGTTTGGAAGCCCTAATCAGATAGGGCTTTCTTGGTCTCAGCTGTTCTAGCAACAAACAAACATATTTTTATTTGGATATCAGTTTGGTACTTTCTGCTAATTGCGTATGGGTTATATCTTTTAATTGATATATACTGCTCAAAAAAATAAAGGGAACATTTTACCATGGAACTGAAGGGGTTTGCGTTCCCTTTATTTTTGTGAGCAGTATATTTTAATAATATTTTAGTTGTGTGTTGACACTTTAAACTGCAACACGCTATGCATTCTACTGAATTATAAAATGTGCCTAACCATTGTTAAGTAGAATAACAATTATGAAGCAATTCCTTTGATTTTCCACCAATATCTGATATGTAAAACCATCTTTCTAAAGGTTCTGGAAATACACTCAGTTTAATTGTCTAGACCTTGGTTGCATTTATACACTGCATTCAATTATGGCTATTGCTTTGGCATAGTGCATTATGGAAACTTAGCTGCTGGGGTTTTAAAACTTATGTTTTTTTTAACTTAGCATGTTGTGCAAATTCAGCCATGTGGTTTATTCAATAAATTGTGGTTAAATAAATAATGGTTAACCGTGAAATCAGTTTCAGTGTGTGCTCTTGTTATTATGACCTTCCACTTCCTGTTTTTAAAATTCTTCTTCCTGTTGATCCAAATAAAACATTTACCTTTCCCTGGCAATTTGTTTTATGGCCTCTCCCTCAGATTTATTCTATCTTATGCCCTGATTCTTCTTCTTCTTCTTCTTCTTCTTTTTTTTTAAAGACATGCCATTTTATTTCTCATAGTTTCTGGATAACATTTGAAACTCAAGACAGGGCTGTTCTCCTGTCTTCAAGCTTTGATTTCCTATTCATTAAATGACCTGGACAAGCTACAACTGCATCCAAAATGGAAAATTTCATTTTGAGTACAAATCCGATTCCTTTCTCTGTGGCATGGACAAGAAATATTCCTACTTCATTTCATTTCATTTTATTTGTGAAGTAACGCTGGAAAATCTATAGGGAAACCTATCAAATGCATGAGCACTGTAAGATTTCTTTTAATAGGTTCTTGGACTTTCTGAAAGCTGCCTAAAATTGCAAGAGCCCTACTTTTGGCTCCCTGCTTCAGTGATTTTCAAATGCCAACTCTCAGAAAATATTTCTAAAACAACTTGTTTATCAAATAACCCCTAGAATCTGTGATATACTAAATGCACAGATTTAATTCATGTTCTGTAGTCTGCAGAAATGATACATGGTCCTTAGCCAATGAGGAGGAACAGTAATGCCTACCATAGGCCTATAAGTATGTACTGTGTTTTATTTTATTTTATTTATGAAATTGCAAGGAATGTATTAGTAGTGGAAGAAAAAGCAGTCTTAAAAGCTTCCCTGCCAGACCACCATTATTTAATTTCTTACTGAACAACTTTTCATAAATATTCTGGTTAGTGGATCTCACTTTGAAAACAACTACGATATTGCGACAAAGCTACCATTCTATCTCTGTACTATTGTTTCACAGGGTTCAAAACAGATCACCCCCCCCTGCCAGTAATGCAAATTCATTCCCTTAAATCCAAGCTAATTTTATGCAAAATAAAGTACACAGATTAAGCAAATGAACTCAGCTATGCCTGGTATAGTCCAGCTGCAGAATGTTCATTTTCTAACTGCAGAGTTAAGGATTTGCCTTTTGTGAAGTGCAGGATTGCAAACCGTTTCTGAAAGCAATAATATAAACAAGTCTCCTCTCATGGGCATTCTTATAGTTTAACTCCCCCCACCCACCCCCCGAACTTTAAATGCATTGACATACCTCCCCAGAAAAAGCTTGTCCATTCAACAGATGTTCTGATCCCTGGCTATCTTCACTGCCGAAGTGTAACCGTATTTCTTCTAGTCGGTGACTGTATGTCATGGGCCCTCCGGAGATGTTCACCAAATGTTCTTTATCCAGGCGTAGAGAAACATGCCTCCCTGTATTATACATTGTTCCACTGACCTAAACAAAACAGAATACAAAAGATGATACAAAGCATTTAAAAAAAAAGTTTGGAAGAAATTAACCATCTTTTAAAGCAGTGGCACCTTAAAGACACGTGGACTTCAGCTCTCAGAATAATTCTGGAAGTTGAAGTCTACATATCTTTAAGTTGTCAAGTCCACACATCAAGTTATCAAGGTTGAGAAACATTATTTTAAGGGCATCTTTTTTTCTTCTTGGAACATTGCGTTATACATCAAATTATTTTAATATACACGTATTTCATGTAAAATATGCAAGATACCTGCGCACATTAGCTAGGAGTGAATGGGGAACAAATAAATAAGATGTACTTGCCTCTAAATAAGTAAGAATGTGAAAGCATTCCTTAGCTCAGAATGAAATAATTGCTTCGTTAACAAATTTTGGGCCCCAGAAAAGAATATTTGCATGAAAATATAAATTATTTACATTATATTTAAACATTTTTAAAAAAACCAACTAATTTATTCTTGCTAAAAATGTCACATAACTTGGAAGACATAAGGACCCCCAAAATAGGAAATAGCACTATTTTTTGGACTTTTAACATTTCTGGATGAAAAATGTTATGCCCACTATGATTGTTTCAACATGACTAATTGGATTGTTTTTGTCCAAGATGTATTGACCATATAGTATTACCTTAAGACATTATGACCCTACCACTGAATTATAGCTCATGCCATGAAAGAGAATAGGGTTAGGTCTGAATACATGACCTGTGAATGATCACAGCCGCTGAATTTTGTAGTAGGGTCATTGAATGTCATTCTGCTAGAACAGCTGAGTAAGTTGCAGTATAAAAACCCAGTATGCTCATCCAAATCATACCAGCAAAGCAGAAGTTGAGTAGTAAGTAAAAGACATTTTACTTTTTATTAATTTCATTTCAAAAGAAGATGATGCTGATGGTGGAGAGTCAAAGTAACAAGACAAAATATATACATTTTTATGCAGTGGTGGGATTCAAATATGTGAACAACTGGTTCTCTGTGTGGATGCCGCTTCCGGAAGCCCATTCTGGGCCTGGGCAACAAAAAAATTAGCTACCGGTTCTGCCGAAGTGGTGTGAACCGGCTGAATTCCACCACTGTCTTTACAGTATATAGTCAAGAATGTAAAACTATACATAGAAAAACTTAGTATTCAATTATAATACAAATCACTATAGAATCAGCAAATAAAATGTTTTAAAAGGAAATTCTGTTACTGATGGCATTACAAAAATAGAAGATAGAGGATACAATCTAGAAAGCTTCCGACACAAGCATTACCAGAATGATAATGTATGGCGATATTCCTGCACAACTTTCATTCACTTTCCAGAAACACATGTAAGATATTTGATTTCAGGATGGACTGTCCATCATTACCCATGTCTTTTTTCCCCAATGCCTTTCAGTCATTTTATTTATTTATTTATTTGTTTGTTTATTAAATTTCTATGCGCCCCCCCCCCCCCATCTCACTGAGACAACTGTAGGCAGTTTACTGCCATTCAGTAAAATATATGATATGACACTTCCGGTGAAGATGGTCAACTAAACGATACGCCCAGGGAAAGAGCTGTCACTTTTTCAACTTACCAACAGAAGGAACTGGCATTCCTTTAGTTTATCTGATTCTCCTGAGTTAGGGAAAGTCCTAGAATCCTCCCACAAGAGCCTTCATACAGCAATGGTCTGCAAGTAGCTTCAGGAGCTTTGCTTCAAAGCACCCTGCATGCTGATAGCTGGGGCAGGGGCCTGCGATCAGTTTGTTGTTGAAGAAGCAACCTTTTTGGAATTTATTTTTCAAACTGACAGTAAGTTGTGTCTTTCATTTCTTAATCGCTTTTTAATCTTTATTAAGCTAAAAGAGGCTCTCTTTAGCCATAGCCTGTTATTCTTTTTTGAAGATCTGCACCATTTGGGGATTTCTTCATTGTTAAATAACAAGGAAGAAGGCTGCTAAGGCCAGCTAAAATAAGGAAGTGTGGAGTATCTGTTTTTTAAAAAAATAATGGAGAAATATAAGGGTAGAAAGATGTGGTTCTAGATTTTTATCTTTAGTTATTTGTAGCTTGGTCTGCTTTGCTGTGGGTGGCTAAAACTTTCTGATTTTTATGATACCTGATTGACTTACAAAAAAACTACTCTTTGACTAAAGAGGGAGTTAAGAAAATGAAGGAGCAAACTGTTAGAAATGTATTTGAAAAATCCTTAAATAAAATCCAACAGTTTATAGACTAGCTATGCTCCAAGGATGTTAAAAAAAAAACCTACTCAAACTACTGCAATATGTGTAGAAAGTTACCAAATCACCAAGGCAATTTCATAAGTAACTGACAATGTAGAAGAGTCAATTGCAATTTTGGAATATAAACTGGATATCAATATTTATGATGATGATTTAAATATAAACCTTCCAACACAATTAAAAAAGAGTTCCAAAAAAATCTGCAACTTTCAAAAGGACAAGTATGGGACTTTTTCTTCATGGACACTAACAAGGTTGAGAAATCCTTGAGAAGTTTAAAAGAGAAGTTTTTAATTACTTGATAAACATTCTAGAAAATAAAAAGATTTTATTTCATGAAGATAAGTTGGAAGGAGTGACGTAGTGAGTCAATTGGCATTAGGATGAATTCTTATCATTCTGATATTTGTAATTGAAAGAAAGTTTTAATGTAAAGTGGGTCTGAAAATACATTTTTCCTTCATATATAATGCTTAAGTAATTCTTAAACCTTGTAAAATATTACTGAAAGTGTATTTGAAAGTATCTATGTTAAGGGAAAGCCAAAGAAAAAGATGTATTAGCTTAAAGAAAAGTTTAGAGTTTTAAAAAGGATGTATACAAGAAGAACATTTTTATTTTATAAGACTAACTTGGAGTGATTTAAATTCAATGAGTTAATTTGAGTTAGTTGGAACTTTATTGGTCTAACTGAAAATGAACTTTAAAGTATATATGTTAAGAGGAAATTAAAAAAAAGATGCATTAGAACGTTTTGATCTTAGAAATGTTTTTAAAGAAAGTTTCTTCTTCTTCTTGTGCCATATCCGTTATCGAATGTTGGTGATCCTGTTTTTATCAGCAGCCGCACGAAAAAGTGCTGCTGAGTTTTGCCCAAACCAGTCCCTTAGATTTTGAAGCCATAATGTTTTTCTTTTGCCTGGACCTCGTTTGCCTTCAATCTTTCCCTGGAGGATTAAACATATGCTGTATGCTGTATGAAGTTTAATGTTTTAAAACAGATGAAAAATATTTTTTTCCCTTTGAGATTAAAGAATCTGAAAGAATACAGTGAATTTTGTTAATATAAATGGTGATAATTTATAAAGATTATTAAGTGCAAATAGAAATATATATTATTTCCACAGCAAGGAAGAAAAAGCAGCAATAGTTAAACTGATTGCTCTATTCAAAGAGGAGAATATATTTAATTATGCTTTTTATTTGGAAATCACTTCTGGATTTTGTGCTTGTGATAAAAATATATGAAACTTTGACTTTGGTTTTGTTGATTAGATAATTTTGTTGTTATAGGAATGGGTAGTGCAGGGGTAGGCAACCTCGGCTCTTTATGACTCATGGACTTATAAATAAATAAATAAAGTTGGAAAGGACCTTGGAGGTCATCGAGTCCAACCCCCTGCTCAGGCAGGAAACCGACTATAGCTGACTAAGGAATTCTGGGAGTTGAAGTCCATGAGTCATAAAAGAGCTGAGGTTGCCTACCCCTGGGCTAGTGTACATTAATGTGAAAAAGTAAAAAGTTGAGGCTGCAATCTTGTTATCTTGTACTTTGCTAAAAAGAGTCGGAAGTCAACACTTTTTTCTTTTTTCCCTTGTACCCCATATTTTCTTTCTCCCTCTTTTTTCCTTCCCCTAATTTTCTATTTCTATTTTCCTTTATATTTCATACTTGGATAAAACAATAAAAGTTGGGGGGGGGAATAAAAAAATAAAATATACAATATAAAACATTTAAAACCATAAATAAAGACAATAAATTGTTGACTCCAGGTGACTGCCTCGAGCAGTCCTTGCATTTTTTTCTGTAGTACGTTTGTTATCATTAACCCTCATGTCCTTCTAAAATCTAGACCAGGGGTGTCAAACTCCCCATGTCATGTGACGTGTCGTGACATATCGCAACTTTTTCCCCATCGCCGGAGCATGGTTTTCAGCATGACGCATCTGGCCTGTGATCTAGAGTTCTAGACCATCTGCAGCAAGCAGACACCCCTGATCTAGACCATCTGCAGCAAGCAATTATCTTGCCATGGTTCTACTATCGAAGCAGGGAGTTTCAGTCAATGGTGATGGAGAGCAATTTTATTATTTATAAGTGTCAGAAGCATCTCAGTTAAAATAAGGCATACCATATGACATAAAATTTAAAATATAAAATACCAGATTATTTGCCTTTTATAATCATTTTATTACCATGGGGGACATGAAAGGATCCTGCATGAAGACTGTATGATATTAACACACTCGGGTGTCCCCTGAGCAACAGCTTATAGCTGGATAATCCTTTCAATCCAGAAGCATCTGAAGTGTAGTGAGATGATCATTTCCACCTGTGACTCTATGGAGAGTGATTGAGCCCCTGAAAGTTCCAATGTGGGGAACTTTCCAGAGCTCAGTCCTTGCCCCCATGTTATTTAACACCTACGTAAACTTTATTGAGAGACTGCTCATTGGTTTGCAGTGAAGTGCCATCAGTATGTTGATGCTACCCAGTCATATACTATATCGCAATCATGAACCAAGCTGAGGATTCATACTGCCCTAAAACAGTTTGTGATCCGTAGGACTTCCTGGATTCTTGCCAAAATAGCAGGTGGAAACCATAGCCAGAGGAGGCCTTGCCCAGATTGAACTGGTGTTCCAGTTACCTCAAACAAGATATTCAGGCAATGGGAACTCTGATCTTCATCTGGGTAGGACTATTCTACACAGCCTTCTTTTAGAGAAGATGCAGA